GATATTCAATAGCCTTACCCTCTTTTTGACGAAATAATATTGAATGTCATTTTATAAGATACTACTAATAATATACAACGAAACACAATCTTTTTCTTGAACTTTGGCACTATTTCTTAGAGTTGACTAGTAGTGACCCCACAACAAACCACTGGAGCAGGTTACTAGTGGTTTTTTTTGTGAACACGAGAAAAGAACACTTTATATGAACCACTTACGTTCTTTTTAGAAGTTTAGTACTTCGTAAAAAGAAAACGTCAATAACTTAGGTTCGTTAAGGTGGCTGTTTCCTGGATATATCAATGACCGCAAAAGTGACGTCTCCTATCGGTGTTTGGGTTCGCAACGTTTTATTACCAAAAACAACTCATAACAACTCGCACTTTGTTGAATATCACCATCATACCTCTTTTTTTCCACAATCTCACTCGCGTTTTGCTTCCACGATTTCTGGACATCAACAAGACTTTCAATGTGGAAAAGCCCAAGCTGCTCCTAATGACCATCAACAATTCAATCAGGCATGGTATCATGGAATTCCTCCACAATCTTTTGTTAAAGTAGCTGGTGCCTCTGCTGCCTTTTGGTTTAATAATCGTGACGAAAATCTTCATTGGAATCAATTTTTGCCTCATAATGTATTTAATCATGCAAAATGTTGGGGTTATGAAAAGAGTCAAAGATTATATGAAAGTTTTGGACGGTTGTCAGGAATTCTTGATGGATCGTGTCCACGACGAGTTTATATGATGGGTATGATGCCAGGGAAAGTTAAACCAAGTGGTCGGGATCCACTTCTCACACCTCCGCTTACACCTGATAACTCTCCATCTGGATCTAATGATGGTTTCAAATCTTCTCATGTTTCAAAAGAGCTTGAGAATGTCTGTCAATCAAGTTCTCCACTTGAATCGGCAATAATTGATTTTGAAACGTTTATAAATAGGAATGTTGCACGCGCTGAGAATATTACTGGATTATATTACGCTAGACATAACAAAACAGATAATGTAAAAGTTCAAAATTCCACGGCTCATACCCCTGCTCATTTCTTTCAACTTGCTTCTGAGAAATTTCATCCTTCAGCTCAGTTTAATTTGGCATTATGTTATCATTATGGTAAAGGTGGTGTAACATACTCTAACCTTCCTAAGGCTATCGAATATTACACGCTTGCTGCCTCTGATGGTCATAAAATTGCACAATATAATCTTGGCATTTTATATCAAAAAGGTGGTAAAGGTATTGAAAAGGACATTGGGTTAAGTTTGGGTTGGTTACAAAAAGCTGCTGAAGGTGAAAATGGCTACTTACCAGCAAAACTTGCGATTGCGATGCTATGGCAAAATGGTATTGAAGGTATCATTCCTAAAAATGATGATCGTGCTAAAGAAATTTTTAAATTACTTGTCGAAGAAAGTCGACACAAAATTGGAAACTCTGAAACTAATAATAATTCCGGTAATCATGACCCTATCTTGGAATTAACTTCAATATCTTCAGCTGCGCTTGCAAATTATTATTTAGAGAATTTGTCTTCAAAGTCGCAATTACCACAGCATCATCAGCTTTCAACTTCTGCTCGTTATCATTGGGATTATTTGTCACATCCACATTCTCCAGCGGCTATTTACAACCTTGGGGTATTGTACGAATTTCACTTGAACGATATTCAATTGGCTGTAAAATGCTACAAACTAGCTGTTCAATTAGCGAATATAAACAAACCGTTCAATAATTGTCAATTGCCCTCTTCATTCAATCAAGAAGATCTTCAATGCGTGCAAAATGCTATGTGGAACTTGGGCGTTATATTTGCAAAAGGAAAAGGTGGTTTACCAAGAGACTTCAAGGAAGCCAAGAGATGGTTTAATGGTATTAGTGATAAAAATCAAGAGATGGAGAAATTGGAGAAATGGTTGGATAAAAAGTTAAAGCGAGTTGAATTGTAGAAATGATTAAACGATTGTGTTTTCTTATGATAAATTA